ACTCTTACCACATTTAGAACACCCCTTGCCTTTGTTTTTTATATTTACTCGTCAAAAAAATTTTTTACGCCTTGTCCCCTAAAAGCCGCTGCCATGGCAAGTCTCTGCTGATAAGACAGACCTATATCTGAACACAGGTGTATATAACCAGTTAAATCAGTCCTTTTCCTGTAAGGCCTAATGGCTGCCTGGCAGGCAGGATTAGCATTTTTATATGCCAACTGTTTCACATACTTAAGCCCTGCGTCAACATTTCTAAATATTTTCCCTGCTGTCGTCATTAACCGATGAACAAAATCTGCAAAAGTCTCATCAGATCCCTGCTTAACTGAAATGAGAGAAGCTCCCAGGTTCCCTTTGACTGGAAGTTTTCTCCATGCTTTCATGGCAGCAACTCGAATTTGTGCAAAAAGACCTGCATCATAGTGCATCTGTCGTTCATTGGATTCATACTGGCCTCCACCTATTAACATATCAAAATCCCATCCATTTCCAGTTTGTTGATTCCTTTCAGCTGTTTCTTTACAGTTGTCATAATACTCTGATTTCCATAGCAAATAATCACCCCCACTAAGGACTGCCTTTACCAGAGTATTCCAGTCAATAGGAGTTAGCCATTTTTCAGCCTCCCCTTCCACAAGAGCCAAGGTATATAGAGCTGTAGCCTCATACTGTGACACGGCAGCCTTTAATTCTTTGATTACTGGGAATTCATGTCCTCTATGATGTCGCCATGTCTGTCCCCGGTCATCAACTGTTTTTGTTACGGGAAAAGCCTCCATATGGGAGGAAAATCTATCAGGGTTATTAAAGTCTCCTTTATATAAATGGAGGCTGGGCCTTCGAGGATTGTGGCAAACTTTTTTCCTATCCACCACAGTTTTTTTTACCTATTTTAAGTTTTTGTAATTTGAGTATCAATGATTGATGTATTTTCTCCAGTTTAATTTGTTCCTGCAATTGTGCTATCTGTTTCTTTAATTTTGATTTAGGATCTATTGTTGCCATTACAGTAGGAGCAGATGGTGCACTGAAAGTAGGAAGGTGGTCACACTCTTGCCCCTTGCGGCCATTAGGTGGCGACCTAGTCCTAGTTTTACAAACCAACCCCTCCCTCTCAGACTCTGAGCTATCTGTATCTGTATTTTGAGAAGAATCCTCATCTTCACTATAAGAGAAATCAAGTCAGGCATGTCCTTGGGAGTATCCGGAATTTCCCTCAACTCTGACTGAGAACTACTTCTAAAAATCTCTTTAGCTTGGGCAACTGCCACTACTGGCTCATGTCCATCTCTCTTATCTATTAACTCTCTTATTAAATTCCAATAAGAAAAAGTATAAACAGGAACCTTTTCAGGTCCAAACACTGTATAAAAGTCTTGTAATGCACCTACCACTCTTTTTTATCTTTTTATATCTAGTATTCCCTCTTGAGGAAACCAAGGACACGTTTCATTAATGAATTCAAAGAATCTCAATAGATCCTCTATTTTAACCTTTACTCCTCGTGTCTTTAAGCCTTCTTGTAATTGTTTAACATAAAGTTCATGCCGGCTTAATTCTTGTCCCATAATCGGACGTCTGTACTTACTTCTGGTTTTAGCCGAGGCAGGCTCCCGCGGCGAGTCCAGAGTGAAAAATCCTTATTGAACGCGTTCCTTTGGGACGTCGTCTTCCCTCACTGGATCCTCCATATCCAGCCCTAACGTTGGGCGCCAGATGTCTCAGCCCGCGAGACAGTCAACGTGGGTACCTGGAATGAGGAGTGGGGATGAAAGGGGCAAGAGACACGAAGAATGGAGACAAGACAGGCTTTCTGATCAAGTCTCATTTATTGAACATCTACACAAAGCTTTTATAAGGAAGCAGAAGGGGAAGAAGCTAGGTGGGTAAAAACCCTTGCAACAGCAGTAAATTCCAAAGTTAATTGTAAGTTCCAGTAAAGACCGCAGTTTCACAGTTAGATCACAAGTTACAATAAATTTTGCAGTCACATCACAAAGCCAGATGGTTCCACAAGGTAGAGAAGTCTCTCAAGTGTGGTAGAAAAGGTCAGGGCAGAAAAACATGTTTTTTACAGTGTCACCTGGTTAGCCTTTAACTGGGTCAATTGTTGATGCCTGCAAACAGCCTGTTTCACAGACAATGGTTGCTGTTTTCTGGGGTGGGGGCCTAGGCTCCCCACAAATAAACCTTGAGCTTCAAAGGATACTGTCAGAAAGTGAAAATATGGCCTAGAATGGAGAAAATAATTGTACATACTTCATAAAAGACATATTACAATATTTAAAGAAGTTAAACTCTATAATAAAAATACAGATAACCCAACGGAAGATGGGCAGATCTGTGTACACATTTCTCTAAAGAAATGTGTAAATAAATGGCCAGTGAACATGTGAAAAATGCTCTACATCATTAATGTCCTCAGGGAAACACAAGGCAAAACCATAATAAAAGGTAGGACTGGAGGAGTAGCTCAGTAGCATAAGTGCTTGTGCAAGGTTCCAGGCTTGATCTGCAATACCACCAAAGAGAAAAACAAGCCACAATAAACATCACTTTATTATGATGTCTCAAATTAAAAGTCAAATAATAACTCTTGATAAGAGTATGGAGAGATTAGAACCCTTGTATACCAATGTTGGGAATGGGTAATGATTCTGGAAAATACTCTGGCAATTTCTCAAGTAGTTGAGCATGGAGCATATGATCTTGCAGTTCCATTGTAAGGAAACAAAAGCATGGGTAAAACTTGTACTCTGTGTTCATAGCATTATTCATAATAGCTAAAAGGTAGGTGGAGCCCAACTGTGTACCAACAGAACTGATGAACAATTTCTAGTACTCCATGGAAAAGAATGAAGTACCAGTGTAGCTGCAAGACAGGTGAACTTTGAATAGACTTTCTGTGCACGCAGAATGTGCTGCTTAGGGAAGGGAGATGGGGAGACAGGAGAGTGATGGCTAAAGAGCCACGTTTCTTTTTGAGGCCGTGGAAGATGTTCTCAGATTAACTGTAATTACTGCACATATCTAAGAATATCCTAAAGACCATTACATTTCAAAATGACTATTGAAATAAGTGAATTGTATAGAATATGAACTGCATTTCATTAAAATTATTTCTGAAGGGCTAGAGAGATGGCTCAGTGGTTAAGATTATTGGTCGTTCTTGCAGAGGATCCGGGTTCAATTTCCAGCACCCACATGGAGGCTAACAACCATATATAACTCCAGTTCTAGGGGAATCTGATGCACTCTTCTGTCCCCAAGGGCATTGCATGACATGGTGCACTTACATACATGCAGGCAATACACATAATAATAAAGTATTTTTTAAAGACTCTAAATCATTTTTCATGATTGTCTGTTATGACAGTTAATCATGATTGTTGGATTGATGGGATTTAGAATCAACATGAAAACAAACCTCTGGGCATGATTGTAAGTGATTTTCTGGATTAGGTTAATTGAGGTGGGAAGATGCACCCTAAATGTGGGTGACAGCATTCTATGGGCAGGGATCTCAGACTAAATAAAGAGGAAGAAAGGAGCTGAGCACCAGCGTTTGTTTCTCTGCTTCCTGTCTGGACTCAGTGTGAGCAGCTGTCTCACGCAGTGTGAGCAGCTGTCTCACGCTCTGTGAGCAGGGCTTCCTGCCAGATGGACTGTTTCCTCAAGCTGAGCAGAATACGCCCTTCCGTTCCTAAGTTGTGTTTGTCAGGTATTTTGTCATAGCAGTGAGAAAAGTAGCAAATATGTGCACTGCCTAGCATTTATGACATATGCATTGCCAAGCCAGATGGGGTGAGCGATCAGAAACACAAAGGCTGAGTAAAAAGACTAAGTAACTAAAATGTTGCTGTCACGGTATTTAAGTAAATTTTCTTCTCATTCTTATTTAGAGAGCTAAGAAAATAGAGGTGATTCTTGATTCTAAAGCTAAGCAGCTTGGGTGTACATTTAAAAACACTAGTTTCTCTTGGTTTTTAGGTTGGGCATTCTGTTTATTCTGAGAGAAAATTATAACCTCCTTTCCTTTTTGTCCTTCCTCCCCTTTAATCTTTAAGGGAGTTTACACTGGAAGAGTACTGACACTTCAGGAATTACTGATTCACATTGGGCAGTTGAATGCAGAAGCTGTTCGAGGTCAGTGGGCCAACCTCTCGTGGGAACTGCTTTATGCCACCAATGATGATGAGGAGCGCTACAGTATCCAAGCTCACCCACTACTTTTGAGGAACCTTACGGTACAAGCAGCTGATCCTCCTTTAGGGTATCCGATTTTTTCTTCAAAACCCCTCCCTGTACATTTGTACTAGAGTCCACTTTCACTCCTCAGTGTAAGGTCATCAGAGGAGGTACTACCTGAAAAGTGACAATGTACGTTTTGTCATGTCACTGGACTTCCTTCTTGCCCCAGGGATGCCTGAGGAAAACTAAGCTCCATAGGAATTGATTCTTAGCCATCTGAATGACTTAACTACTCTGTGTCTAACATAAAGTTAGAAGTAGTTGGCCAGTATTTGTGCTCTACGAGTTCTAACAGGTTTTGGTAGCTAGAATAAAACATTTGCACAAGTTTAGATAATTTTTTACTGCTTTGTTAAATGTTTGATATGTGATGTATCTTTTTAAAACATCAACAGCTGTGTAATTATATACTTAGAAGACATGCATATCAGTGTTTTTAAATAATAATAATGGATCCTTTTAATGGTTAGCATAACATGTACATATATTTATTTGAAATATAATTATCTTTAGTATTTTGAAATGTTTGTACTGTTTTAACATTTAACATGATCTGCAAAGTTCCATATACTGTATTAATTTTTTCATATACTTCAATTTGGAAAATATATACTCATAATAAAATATCTCCAATGAAATCTTATTTGTGTCTGGGGGTGTGCATATGTGTGTAGGTCTGCACCCACGCTTGCGGAGGCCCAAGGCCAACCTCAGGTATTGTTCCTCAGGAGCGACCTACCTAATTTTTTTAGTGTCTCTCTAGGACATGGGGCTTACAGTTTGCCTAGGCTGGTCAGCTGGTGATCCTCAGTCCTGTCCCACCTCTCTGGCACTGGGATTGCAAAGATGTGCCACCATGCCTCACTTTTTATATGGGTGCTAGGGATCGAACTCAGGTCCTGATGCTTATGTGGCAAGCACTTTACCAACAGAGCTATATTCCAAGCCTCTATTCCTCTTTCCAAATATCCATTGGCATATGTGAAGGAAACAGGGCTTGCCCCATTCACCATGGGCATACCTGTGGGAAAAGCAGAGTTGGGGTGATCTGAGCATGACCACTCAGGGTGTCCCTTAGATCTATCTGACTCTTTACACGGCTCTTGTAACTGAATTTGCTGCTGAAGAATGGATTAGTTAGTGGGACTGCCAGTTCCCAGTGTCTTGGGTATATGAGATAGAGGGAGAGGAAGGAAATTTTTCATAAAGTGATGAGAATTTCATTTTCATTCGCTTGTTGCTTAGGAATGCTTTACAGGTATGGGGGTGGAGGAACAATGAATCTTCACCACTAAAGATGGGAATTTACTCTGTTCCTTACTCGATACCAGCTAATCTTTAGGAGCCCACCAGAATCCTAATGCAGTAATGCCTTACCTTTAGAAATGATTGAAGTTATTGAAGTGTACCATTGTAGTTTATTATAATTAGTCCAGTTATTTAGTATATGGACCACTTTGCTCCATCAATGTTAAAAGATCTTTCAGATTAATTATGGAATTTCTGAGTTAACTTTTTTGGGGGAGTATGATAGTATAATAAGATTAAGTTTTGTTTAATACCCTACTTCAGATATCTGGCTATAGTTTACCTGATTAGATGTATTACCTGGACAATATTATGTCTTTTCTCATGTAGTAAAGTTTTACCATGCTGTTAAAACTCTTCATAGTGATCACTTTTAATGACTGCCTAGATGGACTTTATTGAACTTTTCTTCTTAAGTTGTTAAAGATTTTCATCATGAACCTAATACCAAGCCATGTCTTCTTTTGACCTTGCATTATTCTAAAATGGTCCCTATTTCCCCATTGCATTCATTTGTTAAGCTATGAATTCCATCTCTAGTCCTCTGTTATTGACCTCCGTTATTGTCTGTGTCAAACCATCTGACCACTTTGGTCAGAATGAAGTGGCCCTCTTTATCTCTCTCTACCTCCTGTTCCTCTGTTACATGAGTCTTAGGGGTAGAGGCTCCATGGTAGATGTGTCACTTTAGGGCTGGGCATCTCTCAGACATATATTCTATGTGTGTGATCAGTTGTGGAACTCTGTAATAATCTCTATCTGAGGCAAAAATAAGCTTTTGGTGAATGGTTTACTGTGTACTTGTTTGTAAATACAAGGATACATATTCAGCATACAGTGAAAAATTATACTGGTCTAAGGATGTGGCAGAAGTATGATTTCTTGAGGATCTATAACCTTTCCAGCCATGTGTATTTGCCTATGTTTACAGTAACATACATGAGTTCCTTCCCATTGAGTGGGCTTTAATTCCAATTAGATAGCTGTTGATTTCTCCAAGATAAAAGTGTCACTACTGCACTGATACAGTTTGCTGTGCTGGTCATTGTTGTGGTTATTAGGCTTTAAACCTGGGGTTGAACCATTGATTGATTTTCTCCCTTAGCACCTTACTTAGTGTGATGGCTAATCTTGGGTGTTAACTTGACTGGATCTGGGATTAACTGAAATGAGAGATCTTGATTGGATCATCTGAAGCTGGAAGACACACCCTAAATGTGGGTGTAACCTTCTGATGGCAGCCTGTATAAAAGACTATGCAAAGGAGAATGCCTGGCTTCTTGCTGCTTGCCTTCTCTCTCCCTGGTGAGGTGGTCTTGCTGCTGTAGACTGAAGACTAGCAGATCTTTTGGAATTTGTCAGACCTTCAGCACCAGATTGGGACTACTGAGACATCCAGCCTCGTGGACTGAGCGACGATGGAGTCTCAGCCTCTCCAGTTTGGTGCAGCCATTGTTGGACTGCTTGGACTCCATCCTGTGAGCTAAGCTGATAAATCTCTGTACATATATATTCATTCTACCAGTTCTGTTTCTTTGGAGAACCCCGACTAATACACTTAGTATCCTCTAAAACTGTAAGAGCTAGGCTTCAGGAAGGAGGTTTCCAGGTCTGTTCCAGCTGCATTGCTCCAAGTTCTGTGTCTGAAGTATGTCTGGTCTTCATCATTAGGGAAAAGACATAACTTTTCAAGGAGCAACAACAGTTTTCTTTAAATGACAGCTAACTTCTATGTAGAAAGTATGGCAACCAGGAGACAAAGGAATGCTATTTTCTTTTCTAAATTGAAGACACTACAAACATGGAATTTTGTGTTCAGTCATTTCTCTTAACAGTATAAAAATGAAAGTAATAGCACTTTCAAACAAAATAAGTTCAATGGGTTCTCATTAGAGAAACTGTAAAGGACATTCTTCTGAGGGAAATATCTCCAACCTAAATATCTTGGATAAAGGAGGGAAGGAATAATAGTAAGCATAAATACTTGGTTAAAATGTCAAAGTGCATGACAATAATAGTATATGAGATTGGTGCAGGACTTCTAAGTTCCTTTTACATTATCCGCAAAGAAATTGAAAGCACCAAGTAATACTGGACCTTGAAGTGTTACCTACAGAGTAGCAACTAAAGATTGGCACACGGCAAAGCCAAACATGAACAATAATATAATTGTAAACCTAACACAAGAAGGAGGTAGAATAATAATAAGAAGAAAAAATATCACAAAACAGGACAAGTAGAAACAATGAATTAACATAATCCAAAAGTTATCAAACTGAAAAGTAAATAAAAGTCACAATCACCCTTTATAAGAGACATAACAAATACAGGAATCCAGAAGGTTGGAAGTTTTTTAAAAATGGGAAAATGAAGTATAAAATTCCAAAAAGAATTAGTAATGGAGGAGCTTTATAGATTTAGCAATATCATTCATTGTACATCTGGAGATGAAGGCATTATAGAGGTGAAGTCATAATAAAACTTCATTCAGTTCCAATAGTTATAATTTCATAAGACATATTACCCAAATCAGGTTTTTCTCCTACTCTCTGCCTTGGCTGCATTTTCTTCCTATGGAACCAGAGTGAATGGAGTCATTTTTCCCAGTAAGGAAATGGGACTCGGATAGGCAGTACTTGTTTCTGACCAGGACAAATAAGCAAGTAAAAGGCAAAAGTAAAAGAGAATTCACAGAAATGGGCCAAAATTAATGTTGAAGTGTATATAGAGACAGTAGGGATGTACCACAAGTTTGCCATGAGGATATGGTAGAGACATGGGTAAGGTCGATGCTGACATATTGCCTAGACTGTAGATGTCTCAAAAGCAGAAATCATGTCTTATCTATATTCCAGGATGTGATTCAGTGTGTGGTACAATGAAGGTGCTCAATGTACATCTGTAAAATAAGTTAGAGGCAAATTAATTCAAGACAGTTTAATCACCTACTAGAGATATCCACTAAAGTTTGCTTTCTGTCTCTCACACTACCTGCTAGATCCTGTTGCCTCAACCATTGATGGTCACAATTTTCAGTACTTTGAGATCAGTTCTATCAGAGTTCAGTTTGAGTAGCCTTACCCAAAGAGCATGTTTGCTGGTACAGTATCCACTGGAAAGGGGTACAGATATAACTCCTGTAAGACTGTTCACAGTAATAATCTTTCCTTGCTTCCCTATCATGTGAGATAGAACATCCTTGCTTCCCTATTATGTGAGATAGAACATACTTGGTCAAGGACACTGTCCCTAAGTGGCTGAGCTCTTTTAGCTCCTTGAAGACATCCAAGTTGGTTTCTAGAGTGAAGGATCACTGGGTTCCTCCACTACTGTTGACCAGTACATTGTTCCCGCTAAATAAAATCAGAAAGAAGGCCCTTTGAAGATGTTCTGTGGGTGGATTGATGGAAGTCTTAGAGATGGCTGATCATATTATAAACTTGAACCACAGATCTATATTGTATTTTCAAGTCAGGGCAGATGACTCAGTGGGTAAAGCACTTGATATGTAAGCATGAAGACCCAAGTTCAGTTCTCCAGCATCCATGTAAAAGCCAGGTGCAGCAGTGTGTGTCTGCAGCCCCAGCACTGGGAGGTGGAAACAGGCAGGTCCTGGGGTCTTGTTAGCCTGTCAGTCTAGGAGCAACATGAAGCTCTAGGTTCAGTGAGAGACCATCTCAAATAACAAACCAAAAGAGAGGTGGCGTTAAAGAAGGAAAACCAAGGACAGCTACCTAAGAGATGACTAAAGAAGCATGCAGCTCTGGAACCAGAGGGAACCACTTGGGACAATCCCACCTTCCCTCAGGTCCCAAAGCTGCACTGGAGTTTGGATTCTGACTCACTTCAAAGAAGCATGGCTGCTGCTGTGGATCTACTCACCCAGGCATCTCCTCTTCACGTGATCCAGCTCCTGCACCCTTCGGGCCGACAGCACCAGAGAGACTCCTAGTTTAGACAACTGGTGAGAGCCAGCTCTGTACCAATGCCACTTGATGCTCCAGTCACCCATACCACCATGTCATTCATGCATGCACTCTCATAAGAATCAAGAATTTCATCCAACTTAAAATGCATAGGACATAGAGATGAAATGTTGTATTCTACTTGCCTTATTATATTCCTGTTAGAGACTATAAAAATGTCACAGCACTAGCTATATCTGATAGCTACTTAGGGGGTGACAGATGAGTTAAAGGTCAACCTGGGCAACTTAATGAGACCCTGCTTCAAAATAAAAAGTAAAATAAGACTGGGGATATAGCTCAGGGCATCTACCTAGCATGTACGGGGCCTTCATGTCAACCTCCACTAAAG